TGATACACAGGTAACTTGTTGTTGCAGCTCCATGGAAGTTAGTGCATATATGGTGACATTGGTTAGGTTAGTTTGGTATATTAGGTTTGTTAAGTTAGGTTAGATTAGGTTAGGTTTATTAGGCTAGGTTAGAAGTCAAATGAGTAATATTTAGATTTATCGCTATGACACTAGAGAAGGTTGGATTTTACGTACAAAGACCTGGGTCATTAGTATGGTGATAGTGACTGCCACGGCGGTGAAGGTTGTCTGTCGCTTAATAAACACCAATCAGTATTTTTAAGTTTTTAGATAACGAGCGATCTCACGTCATCCCTAAAATGCCATCAAAAGGAACTTCACGTAATCCCTAAAATGTTCAGTAATTTCGTATAATCTTCGCTAACGTCTGCAAACCTTACCTGACATATTTAATGGTTAGGTTAAGTTAAGTTAGCTATTGGTCGCCTTACATTTTAAGAATTACATGAAATACCAAAATACACCCGATCTCTGTAACCTATATTCCTGTACCATATCCATCTAGGGATTTAGATAAATACAAAAATTATTACATATAAAACTTATTTAACCCCAAAAGCACTCGAATATAACGCTTTATGAAGGTGTAGGAGCTGACGTCGAGAATAACACAACTTGATTTTTCTCTACCTGATATAACTTGAAGCATTATGTGTGTGTATGTTGATGTAGATATGTCCAGGTTAATGAGTCCCCTAGAGTCTCGGGCAGCAGCTGGTTGTAAAGTAACGCCAGTGTGTTGTTGTGGAGTTGGGTATTAATTACAGCTCTCCGTTGATTCTGCGGGTCAATGGGCAGTCTTAGTTTTCTCATGTGTACGCTTGTTGTTGTTACCTGTATATATTATTATTGTTGTTGTTTTTGTTATTATTATTATTTATTATTGTTATTATTAATGTTATTAGTTATTGTTGTAGTTATTATTATCATTATTATTATTATTATTATTATTATTATTATTATTATTATTAGTATTAGTATTAGTATTGTTGGTATTGTTATTATTATTATTATTGTTATTATTAATGTTATTAGTTATTGTTGTTGTTATTGTTATTATTAGTGTTATTAGTTATTGTTATTGTTATTATTATTATTACTATTATTATTATTATTATTATTAGTATTATTATTATTAGTATTGTTGGTATTGTTATTATTATTATTATTATTATTATTATTGTTATTATTAATGTTATTAGTTATTGTTGTAGTTATTATTATTATTATTATTATTATTACTATTATTATTATTATTATTATTATTATTATTATTATTATTATTATTATTATTATTTTATTGTTGCGGATTATGCCAGTTAATTTGGCGTTATGTCTTTAGATAGATAGATAGACAGATAAACAGATAGATAGACAGATACTGAGACAGACAGACAAATAGACAGATAAACATATAGATAGACAGACAGAAGACAGACAGACAGATACATCGATAGATAGATAGAATGTGTTAAATTCATGTTAATATCTTAGTTTAATGTTAATTGTTTTCTTTTAAGTTAACTCGTATATAAATAACCAAATAACTAAATGATAAATAACAGTAACATTTGCGAGTACTTCTCCACCCACGTTCAGTTTAGCCCGGGTTCAGTTTAGTCCGCGTTCAGTTTAATCCGGGTTCAGTTTAATCAGGGCTCAGTTTAGTCCGGGTTCAGTTTAATCAGGGTTCAGTTTAGTCCGGGTTCAGTTTAGTCCGGGTTCAGTTTAGTCCGGGTTCAGTTTAGTCCAGGTTCAGTTTAGTCCGGGTTCAGTTTAGTCCAGGTTCAGTTTAGTCCAGAGCTTCATGAGGGACTGGACGGACACTAACGAATAAATCCAAATAAATCCGTAAGTTTATAAATCCTCATATTATAAAGACATTAAATATAATCCTAAAATTATTACCACTAAATATAATATTATTTTATTATTTGAGAGAAATAATGATGTTTAGCTCTGAGGCTTGTCTGATTATGGGAAGGATTCAAGTAGTTTCGGTCATTTGGTAGTTAGGTTTGTTTATTTTTGTCAGTTCGTTATCTTAATATACTCTATAGTTCTTTTTACTGGTTATCGTCCTTTTTTTCTTTTATTTACATATATAGTTCAAGTTTTTAGGTGTAATTTCGTTTTCTCACATCACCTCCGTAGAGAGTATATATAGGGAACACCTCACCCGGGCACAGGTTATACACCCTCAACTGGGGGGGTGGGGGAATAAATAAAATTATAGTAGGAAAAGTTTATATATTATTAATCTACACCACGAAGGTACCAGAAAATCAGCTTTTTGAAGTGAGGCAGATTGTATGAGTATGGAAACACAGAAGAAGGCAGAGTTTAGCCTGTGTGAAAACAGATGAAAGTACTATAACGGGTTATTCTAGTGAGCCTCACAGTCACGCAGAAACTTTGGGCACCGCGGGCAAGACGAGTGTTAGGAGCCCACGGTCTTGCCCGGCGGTACACAGGATGCCAAATCCACCGAACATTGCCCGTTAAAGTACCAGTGACAGAGAGAGAGTGAAGCAACATTGCAGCGAAGAGAAAGGGAAGAGATTATTGACTAAAGGAGGAGAGTTAATAAGACGAAATGCCTTTGATTCCACCCTATCTAACAGTTGGACGGAAGAAGAGCCACCCCAGATATGAGAGCAGTACTCCAAGTTAGGACGAATGAATCTCTTTTATACTTGAAGCAACTGCTCAAGAGTGAAGTAGCTACTGCATCTGTAAAGCATTCCCAGCTTTCGGGAGGCAGCTTTAGCAATGTTGAGGATGTGTGGCTTCCATGACATATTAGAGGAAATGGTGAGGCCTAGCATATCTATTTTAGAATTTGGCAAAATAGTTTCGTTCTGGAAAGTGATTGGTGGAATCCTATAAAATATTTAGGGGTCTTGTAGAGTTTTTAGGGATTCTATATAATCTTTAAGAATCCCTTAAGAATATTTAGGGAACCCTTATAATATTTAGGGATCCCTTAAAATACTTACGTACTCCTTAGGAATATTATGTTAAGTTATTAAGAGGTATACAGCTCTCGTCTCCTGTGCTGTGGGCCGCTGGATCGCTCCCAAAGCACCCCAAGTCCCAGTCCACCCACCTGTGAACGGGTACCTAACTTTACAGCTGGGGAACTGAAGGCTGTCGAGTGCACTGCCCGCCATACAGAAAGAAGGCTTAGTCTATAGTGCTGAGCCTAATGGTTCGTCCACCCCATGAGACCCATGTAACACTTGATAATATTTAGGGAATTCAGTTAAAACACGGAACTTACCTGTGTTATTTAACTAGTCAGTCGTGACACTGTTGTAACGAAGAATTTAGCCCTGGTGCTTATATCTCTCTCTCTCTCTCTCTCTCTCTCTCTCTCTCTCTCTAATATAAGTTTGCTACACTTGATATTTCTCTCTAACTCGTCAACATTGTGCAGTTGTTTTTGCTGATGAGACAAACTTTAACATTTGTGTAAGACCTATTACTGCTATCATAAGATGACCCACCTACTACTACTACTACTACTACTAATGTTATAAAGACTACCTACTACTACTACTACAAGACGACCCACAATTACTACTAGTATAAGACGACCCACCTACTGCTACTACTAGTGGTCGTCGTCAACTTTCCAAGTGTTTCGTGGGTGACCATCTTTCATCTAAAAAAATTATAAAGTCAACAGTATAATAATTTCCTTATTATTTTAGAGAGAGAGAGAGAGAGAGAGAGAGAGAGAGAGAGAGAGAGAGAGAGAGAGAGAGAGAGAGAGAGATCTTTTCTAAAAAATTTGTTTTATGATTTTCATTCTTTTAGACAAGAAAGCGAAACATAATTGTTGTTTTATTGTGAGGTATGAAATAGCATGTGTGTATGTGTGTGTGTGTGTGTGTCGTGGCATAATTAGTGTGTGTGTACAGTAAACATATTTTCATTTCTTTTATTTTAATTTTAACTCAGAGATAAAATTTAATGATAGCTTTACCGTCTAAAAAAGAAAATAACCTTCACATTTAATTTTTTCTGACATGTTAATTGTTAAAAAGATATGAGATTTAATGATGGTGTTTTAGAATATAAAGGTAACAAAAAAAATATATATAACCCCTGTTTGAATATTTTTTGTTTATATAAATTGTTTAAACAAATAAATCTTAAGAATAAATAATGGTTTTGTGAAGTAAAGAAAAAATATTATTATTCGTATTTGTATATTTTGGTCTTCTGTTAATTGTAAAGAAGATTAGGGTTTTATTGTGTAGGGGGACACACACACACACACACACACACACACACACACACACACACATAAAAAGCGTAATGGCCAAAATGGGGTAATTCTGAGCGGCAGGAACATGTTGGTGCAGCGTCACAATGGCTTGCTGCTCCTTGACAAGGCTCGACGTGTCAATTATTCTTCTCAGCTTCTGCTCCCAAACTAACATTTTCCTTTTAACTTCACTTCTAAAATCACCACCAACATTATTTTACCAATATGTTCTGTTTATTTTTATTTTTTATTTTTTTTTCTTCAAGAATTTAATTCTTTTTTAAATTTCATGTTAATACACACACACACACACACACACGCACACTTATATAGATACATAATACATGACAATAATACAATATACTGTATGTGTCTGTAGTTTTACACTATTCTAATGTTTCTTTTGTGAAACTTAAAATGAATGGAATTAATCCTTGTATATCAACGTTGTATTATAAAATCAATCGTAAAATAGATGAAAACTATAATGAAAAAATCAAGACAATTCTTTCTTTCTTGTCGGTATGAAACAAGAAAAAAATTATATTAAATTATAGAAATGTGAATAATGAAACTTTAGATTATAGAACTAAAATTGTATAACAGACAACGGAGCTCATTCTTACTTGACATTATATAAACAAAAACATTTTCTCTTTCTCTCGTCCACACCCAACAAAAGGGTTACAAAGAAAACATCTCGTTAACATAATACGTATTTATTTAGAGGTTAAGAACGTGAAGAACCTGGCGTAATATTTGTGTTATCAGTACATCATCGTCGTCACCACCCCCAACACGAGTCATCTTTGGTATGAGGTTGTTGTTGTTGTTGTTAGTTCAGTGTTGAGAGTATTTTTGTCTCTGGGGGGAGGGAGGCGCGGGAGTGTTTAGTGGTAGGAGGGAGGGGGAATGGAGGGGGGGGGGAAGTCCCTCTAGCTAACCACAGTAGACTGACACTGTAGCCTTGACACTTCAGTCTTGACACACCAAGCTGACACTGAGTCCTTGACACATCAATCTGACGCTGCGGGCTTGACACATCAGACATACGTAATCGTTGGAGTGCAGACTGCCACTTTTGTTCATGGAGGATTTTAGACTGAAATAACTGCTGACTCTCTATGCAGACTGACTTCAGGCTGGCACAGCAGAGTGACGTGTTTGCTCTACAGGCACAGCAGTTACTCATTGTCGTTGTGTTGTGGAATGACATAACACAGTGACTTCTCCCGTTGCTTGAGGTGCACACAATCCACACAGCCTCCCGTCACACACGCACAGCCTCCCGTCACACACAGCCTCCCGTCACGCACAGCCTCCCGTCACGCACAGCCTCCTGTCACACACAGCCTCCTGTCACACGCCTGTCACACTACTGGCACCTGGCAATCCTCATCACACCAGTGGTATTTGGCACACCCCGTCAACTCCCCTGACACACCAGTAGCACCCGGTACACCCTCTTCTTGTGGTGCCCAACACACCCCCGTCACATTAGTGCCACCCGTCAACCCTGTCACAAGTGGCACTTGGCACACTAGTGGCTCCTGGCACACGCTCTTCTCACTAGTGGCACCCAACAATCCCACGTCACACTGATAGCACCCGGGACCTCCCCCGTCACACAAGTGGCACCCGACACATCCCCACATCACACTAGTGGCACCCGGCACTCTCCCGTCACATTAGTGCCCCCCTGCACACTAGGAGGGCTGGGGTAGGTCGCTCCCGCCCGCAGGTCAGTGTGGTGAGCGGAGAGGTGCCGCAGGCTGGGGGGCAGCTGAGAAGGGTGGTGGAGGGCATGAGGCAGCAGGAAGTGCGGCAGGAGGGACGCAGGCGGCAAGAGGGGGTTATGAGGCAGCAGCGGCCGCGAAGTATAACGCAGCCTCTCCAGCTCCGCCTCCTTCAGTCTCTTGTCTTTAGCTCGACGGTTCTGGAACCAGATCTTGACCTGCGTCTCCGTCAGGTTGAGGGAGGCGGAGAACTCGGCCCGCTCGGCGATACTCAGGTACTGCTTCTCCCGGTACTTCTTCTCCAGGGCGAGGAGCTGCTGGGTGGTGAAGGGCGTGCGAGGCTTCCTGTTGGGCTTGTGCTTCCTCAGCGTCACCTTCATCGGCCCCAGGAATTTAGGAGGTTCTGGCGACTCTGTGGGAGGAGAGACAGCGGTGAGGCGGCGACACACACCCGTCCATACGACGCTCTCACACACCCGTCCATACGACCACACACACACACCCGTCCATACGACGGACACCCGTCCATACACATACACCCGTCCATACGACACACACACACACACACCCGTCCATACGACGCTCACACACACCGTCCATACGGACATCCACGACGCTCACATACACCCGTCCATACGACACACACACACACACCCGTCCATACGACGCTCACACACACCCGTCCATACGACACACACACACACCCGTCCATACGACGCTCACATACACCCGTCCACACGACACACACACACACACACACACACCCGTCCATACGACGCACACACACACACACACACACACACATACGACGCGTCCATACGACACACACACACACACCGTCCATACGACACACACCCGTCCGACACACACACACACCCGTCCATACGACGACTCACACACACCCGTCCATACGACACACACACACACACACACACACACACACACACACACACACACACACACACACACACACACACACACACACACACACCCGTCCATACGACGCTCACACACACACCCGTCCATACGCTCACACACACACACACCCGTCCATACGACACACACACACACACCTGTCCATACGACTCACACACACACACACACACACACACACACACACACATACACACACACACACACCACGCTCCGACACACACACACACCGTCCGACACACACACACACGCACCGTCCATACGACGCTCACACACACACACCCGACCATACGACGCTCACACACCCGTCCATACACACGCACACACACCCGTCCATACGACACGCACACACCCGTCCATACGACACGCACACACACCCGACGACGCACACACCCGTCCATACGACACACACACACCCCCATCCATACGTACGACACACACACACACACACACACACACACACACACACACACATCCATACGCTCACACACACACACACACCCATACGACGCCCACACACACACACACACACACCCGTCCATACGACGATCACACACACACACCCCGTCCGTACGACGCTCACACACAAACACACACACACACACACCCGTCCACACGACACACACACACACACACACACACACACACACACACCCGTCCATACGACGCTCACACACATACACACACCCCGTCCATACACACACACACAACGACACACACACACACACACACACACACACACACACACACACACACACACACACACACACACACAGACACCTAACCTCCCACACACACACACACACACACACCAACAACAAAACACACTACACAATACTGTACAACACATATTCACTTAGCAACACACATACACAACACTCACATCCACTCATCCACACAACCCTTCCAACACAAACACCCACACAGCACTTACATCCACACAACACACAACCCCTCACACTCATACAACACTCACATCCACCCGCACACACAACACACAACCCTCACACTCATACACACGCAACACTCACATCCACCCGCACACACAACACACAACCCTCACACTCATACACACACAACACTCACATCCACCCGTCCACACAACACACAACCCTCACACTCATACACACGCAACACTCACATCCACCCGCACACACAACACACAACCCTCACACTCATACACACACACAACTTAACACATACTCATTTACACACACACACACACACACACACACACACACACAAGCAGTCCCAATGGTGAATCTCCTAAACACACTTCACCATTACACCGTGAGTGTAAAACAGCGTTGGTAAACATTCACAACTACTGCGGAGAAATATTACGATGAACAAATAGGCCTATGGTGGAAGACTTTGAAGAAATAGCCGACGACATACTAATAGCTCTACTAATAGGCCTACTAGTATAATAAAATAGTAATCAAAATCACAGTCCCTCAATTCAGTACATATTAACACGCAGCTGATAATTACTCGCATTTGAAATAAGTACAAGAGATGTGTATATTGTTTTGCCCTGTAATTATGTAGTGATAAGTGTGTGTGTGTGTGTGTGTGTGTGTGTGTGTGTGTGTGTGTGTGTGTCATCTATAACAGCCACAAGGTGTGTTTAGCCAGACGTGTGGCGGCCGCGTTGCTGTTGTAGGTCACGATCTTAAGGCGGTAAACTATTTATGTCAACAGAAGATGATTTGGTCGACTGATGGCTTCATCCAAACTCTGTAATAAATGACGGAGGAAAATTATATTGAAGGAGAATTTTGTCACCGTTATAATTCGGCGGAACATTTTGATTTGATTAAAGTGTGTCTATACTTATGTGAACTAAATTTGTAAAATGTTAACCGATTTTGTAATAAATAAACCAGAGTTGCAGAATTTAAATCGACTTTGTAATATTTAATTCAACTTTGAATTATTTAAACTGAGTCTAATATTTAAACCGAGTTTGTAAAATATGAACCGATATTTGTAAAATATTAATCGAATCTGTAAAAAATATTGAGCGCTAAATCATATATCAAACTCTAACAATGGTAAAGAGAATTCGTAAGTATGTTCTACCCCTGCTGCCTAACCCCCCCCCCCACTCAATAAATAAAGGGCGCCGCTCTCCTCCCCCTAAATCACCTTAACTGCCGCCGCCGCCGCTGGAATCTCTGTAATTGGACATTTAATTCCTCTTACACTTATAATTTATCCCTAACTCCTGAGGGAGGGGAGAGGGAGGTACTTACTGGTGAGGGCCCGGAGGGCCAGGTGGTGTTGGAAGAGGAGGTTGGGAGGCCACGTCCCTGGTGGAGACATTGTGCTGGAGGTGGACGCTGGGGGTAAGGGAGGCCCGACGCCCCCTAGATGCCCCAGTAACGTAGGGACGGGGGGCGCTAGCCTCCGGAGGTCCTCCTCGTGCTCCAGCCGGGGATCATATCTGGTGTCGTCGTCGGGGTCGGAGTCTACGTTGATCTCCTCGTCGATGTCTCCGTCATCGTCGCAATCGTCGTGCGTCGCTTTGGATGACAATCTGTCCTCGGCGGGAGGGGTGAGAGGATGCCCTGGCGGCGTCTGTGTGGTGAGGGGGAGGACGTCTGTTGATGTGTCCTTCGGCGCCTCCTTCGGGGTGGAAGAGGCCAGGATGGAGTCTACTGAGAAGGAGAAGCTCTTCCTGGTGACAGCGCTGAAGGCAGAATTGTGGCTGGGCCGGACGCCCTCAGTCGCTACCACGCTCGACATGGCACTCACCGCGTCACCTGCGGCACCTCCAGGTAATGTGTCGGAGGTGAGCTTCACTGGAATGCTGTTTTGTTCTGTTAATCGTGTAATTATTTTTGCCCGTACATCTCTGTGTTAGAAAATGCCATCATGGTTCACCATCTCGCCGCAGCAGCGAGCGTTACAACGGTCTACCACTTGAAGGGTGTACTCGAGGCTTAACGCAGCCCTAAGTGCCACTCAGCATTTCCCAAACATCAACATCCGCATATAAATGGGTGAGGGAACACGGCGCCCCAGCGGATATGACTGTTTACACAAGTTATCAATTCACCAGCGCAGTGGTAACTTACACCACCCAGCTGCCAAGCCACTAACTGGGAACCCCAAGCTCTGGGGACACCCCTCGCGCCCGGCTCCGCCCACCACACCCACCCCATCCAATCCAGGCCCATGACACTAATAGAGGGCGGAGTCGAGCACATACCTTCAGCCAGTCAGCGTGAAGATTAGTAAACACTCGGCACGGGCCATTAGGTTTATGGCAAGATTTACAGTTTGGGTGCTTGTCGGGGTGACGCGCCGGGTAGAGCGGGCCCGGGGGAGAGCTGAGCGACAGAGGAAAGTTAGCCGAGATGTGGGACCTTACTGCGTGCAGGGTAGCGGGAAGCAGTGACGGTAATGAAATGGAAATCAACATCACCTCATCGGCCTTAATTGAGTAAGTGAGAGTTTGTCTAACTAGTGAGGGGTGGGCAAATATGGAGGAGGGGAAGGGGAGGAAAGAGAGGGCACAGCCAGCCAAGGGGAGTTGTTGACGTTTTGGTGGTAATTGTGAATGTAGATCAGCTGACTAAAGGGCGCAACCCACCTGGCCTGTGTGTAAACAATTAACATTTTGACTTATGTTATTTTGTTTTTGTTGTCTATAGCGATTTACATAAGTGAAACATACATTAACAAACACGAGTGTACACAAACACATACAGCAGAACATTAACATACACTGGTGTACACAAAAACCTACATACATGATTGAGAGTTTGAATAATAGTCAGACACATCCATATATATAAACACACATGTGTGGGATGAGAAATATCAATACGTGACTGCATATTTACTCACATATGCACAGCTACAATACACATACACACGGGTACATACACGCATGAGAGTTTAAATGAAATGTACAGACAAACGAACAAATACACAACGACAGAAACAAATAATAGACAAATTAGATAAATTCAGTGATTTAGTTCTGTAATAGCGAACAAATTATTTTTTGAACGACTAAAATTCAATTATTTTGTACACGGAAAATTGCATGAACAAAAAATATAAATTCATTGATATTCACTGACCAACCATACACACGTGTAAACACACATACGTCGACCATACACACGTGTAAACACACATACATCGACCATACACATATTATATACACACAAAAATGAATCGAATATACGCACTTGACATACGCACATATATATGCGCACTAAAATAAATAAAAACACAAAATACTTCAGTTCAACATATATACAGAAATACACCTACCCGACCCACACACACACACACACACACACACACACACACACACACACAAAAACAGCTTCACGACCCTCCACACTGGGTAACTTTTTACTGTCATTAACATATGTTTTCACACCCAGAAATACACAATGTCCTCACGCGAGTACACATACGTACACACTGACAGACATGAGACGTACACACACAATAAAAGTACACGTAAATAAACGAAAGGGAACACACATACACACACACACACGTATACACGAGAAACTCCAAATATACATTACTTTAAATATACATATACACTCGTATACACCACTACTACTACCAACACTACCACCACCACCACCACTACCACCACCACTACTACCACCACCACCGCTACTACCACTACCACCACCACCACTACTACTACTACCACCACCACCTACTACCACACTACACCACACCACTACTACCAACACTGCCAACACTACCACCACCACACTACTGCCAACACACCACCACCACCACTACTACTACCAACACACTACCACCACCACTACTACCACCACCACCACCACTACTGCTACTACACTGCCACCACCCACTACTACACCACCACCACCACCACCACTACTACCATGCCACCACCACCATTACCACCACCCCACCACTACCACTATTAGTTAACAACAAATATACCACCACATTACAGACAAATATGAAAACTAAAACACCGCCCTTCCCTCCCTCCCTTCCCCTCCTTCCCCCTCACTTCCCCCCTTCCCCCTCCCTTCCCCCTTCCCCCCTCCTTCCTTCCCACCTCCCTTCCCCTCCCTTCCCCCCTCCCTTCCCAGTAACCATGTGTAACGAAACAGAGGTTAATGGTAGGCAGGCGGCCGTATTTATGGTCGTGCCATAGACATAAGTGCTCTTTGGGGCTAAAATTATGGTAGGGGTGTCCGACCATACGGGGCTTTGAGGGGCTGAGGGCTGACTGGTGAGAGAAAATTACTTAATGGTCGTTTTTGGAATATGGCCGAGGTGGGGGGGGGGGGAGAGCCAAATTTGTTAGTGAAATTTGTGTTGCTAGTGAGGGTAAAAAAGTGTTTGGGTGCGTGTTTGGTTTTGTGGGCTTTAAATTGATTTTGTTGTTGTTTGTTTTTGGGGTTTGATGTTTTTATTTTATTTTTTTCATTTTGTTGTTGTTTGTTAGTGAGACAGTTTGTTGTTTGTTGTGTGTGTGTGTGCTTGTGTTTGCTAGTGTTTTACATCCTTGTTTTCCTCTTTCAATTTTGCATGTTTTGTTTGAGTTTATTATTGTACTGTATATGTGTGTCGTTATTTTTTTTTTAAGAAATTATGGTTTAATGATATTATGTCGCAATAGCTGTTTTATTATTATTATTATTATTATTATTATTATTATTATTATTTTCATTATTATTGTTATTATTATTATTATTATTTTTATTTTTATTATTATTATTATTTTTATTTTTATTATTATTATTATTATTATTATTATTATTATTTTCATTATTATTGTTATTATTATTATTATTTTTATTTTTTTTATTATTATTATTATTTTTATTTTTATTATTATTGTTATTCTTCTTATTCTTATTCTTATTCTTTTTATGTATATTTATATTATTTATATTATTATTTATATTAATATTATTATTATTATTTGTTATTATTATTATTATTATTACCATAATTATTTTTATTTATATTATTATTATTATTGTTTATATTATTATTAATATTATTATTATTTATATTATTATTATTTATATTATTATTATTATTATTATTATTATTTTTATTATTATTATTATTATTTTATTTTATTTTTATTTTTATTATGGAATATTTTCTTCTTGAAATCTTATAGATTTTTTCTTTTTTTTACCTAAATGAAAATTGTCTCTGTAAATGTTTTCTGACCATCTGTATGTCGCCCTTCATGAGAGATCGTATGGCCTGTTTAGTTATTTACTTTAATATCTTTGTGCTATATGCAAGTGTAAGTAGTTAACAATTTTCTTACTGGGTTTAAAATATTAAATAACAAATAGTAGTAAATAGATTGTGTAGTAGTAGTAGTAATTAGACAGCAACAGTAGTAAATTGATAGTGATCGTAGTAAATTATAAGTAGACAGTTTTGATAAGATTGGGAGGATATGGAGGGGATGGGGCTTGTTAGGGAGGGATGGATAGGCTTGTTAGCGAGGGTGGTGGTGGTAGTGGTGGTAGGAGCAACTAAATGACTTAATATAGTAAAAGGCTTAAGGCGGGAAGGGGTAAGATAATGCTAAGTGGGCGTCTTGAAGTGGGAGGAAAACCCCCAAAATGTCTTACTTTTAAATGGGACCACAAGCCTAAAGGGACGGTGTTAGTTAAAGGGGATGAGGCTACAGGTATTACGACGCTCTACATGTGTTAATACCTGGGTAAGAGAGGGGTAGCCATTACCCAGGCAAGCAGTATTGAGACTCACTGGGGCAACACAGGTGATAGTGACGTGAGTGACCGTTTGTAAGGACAATACAGTGTGTGTGTTTCTTATCCTTACACCACACAACACCTCTACCACCTGCGCCTTCACCACACCACGCCTCCACCACCACGCCTCCACCACATAACCTTTCCTCAACACTCCCTCAACACCCCACCTCTAACACCCCTCTTCCCCTCATACCCCCCTCAACACCCCCTCAACACCCCTCAACACCCCCTCAACACCCCCTCAACACCCCCCTCAACACCCCCTCAACACCCCTCAACACCCCTCAACACCCCTCCAACACCTCCCTCCTTTACCTCCTCAACAACACCCCTCCTTGCCCCCCTCAACTCCTCCTCAACACCCCCTCAACACCCCCTCAACACCTCCTCAACACACGAATAAAACATAAAATAATCAATTAAAATAAAAACATCTACTAATCCATTTAATCCTAACAATACAGAATTAATACACATATTTAATCCCAGCTAATAAGGATAAACTGAACGAAATAATCTGAAACAACTTAATGACTCAAGTTAAATATAAATAAAATCTAAAACATTAAAACGTGGATTTTTTTTATGGTTTGGTATTTTTTTTAAATTTCGTGGTAGATAATGACAGCCTTCAGTAGTGTTGCTGCCGTAAAGTGTCAGGGAAATAACTTTTATTATTGTGATTTATGACTTGGTTGTTTCCTGGCCAGGGGTGTGGGGGTTGTGGGTGTGGGGGTTGTGGAGTGTCTGGGGGTTGTGGGTGTGGTGGGGGTGTGGGGTGTGGGGGTTGTGGGTGTGGGGTTGTGGGTGTGGGGGTTGTGGGGGTTGTGGGGTGTGGGGTTGTGGGTGTGGTGGGTGTGGGGGTTGTGTGGGGTTGTGGGTGTCAGAGGTTGTGGGTGTGGAGGTTGTGGGTGTGGGTTGTGGGGGTGGGGGTTGTGGGTGTGGGTTGATGGTGTGGCTCACTGTACTGTTTTTGGTTCTAGACGATCTGCCCATTAACTTGCAGTGTGTGTGTGTGTGTGTGTGTGTGTGTGTGTGTGTGTATAGCTTATGTGCGTTTCTTTGTCAGTGATGTAGTAATTTAGTTAATAAGTTCTCAAGTATAATTAATTAAACCCCATTAGGGAAATAGTAAATATCTTTAATTTGTTCTTTATTTTTAAACATTTCCTTCCAAATGCCGGGAGTCTTGTGTTGTGGGGGGGCACAGGGTAGGTCATGTCAGGTCAGTCTTGGTATAACACGGGGGCATCATAACCATTTATTATTTACTTTAATATATAATGTAGATAACGTGTATGTATAGGAGACAAAATAT